GAAACCGCTAGACCTGCCTTACCAAAAATTTCATCAGTTCTTCATTTCATCAACACAAATAAAATGATTTTAAATCATACAAGTCAGATGCTCTCAAAAAATCAATTAACATTTTTGGCACTTTTTGCCACGTATCTTCGAATCGGCTCGACCTTTTAAATACGATTCGAATGTTTTTTTTTAATTTTTCCAATCGGTTGATCGGTATCCGCACATACGCACTAGGGTTTATACAAAACCGACATTTCAGGAAACCGGTTTTCAAATTTTAATTTTACTATAAAACCGGTTTTAGCCAGTTTTCGAATTTTATATAGAAAATAAATTTTTGCTCGAATATTTTGAAATTTATCCGCAACTTTAGTGTGATTTAAAGCAGTATTTGACTGAATTTATTTATTGTTCAATTTTATGGATAGTAAACCATTTTTTTTAAATTTTAATTAGTAGAGCTTAAAAATAATAGTTTATCTTGAATAATAACTATGAAAATAATTATTAGTTATTCATGTATAATTTTCACATATAAGAATGAAAATATTTTTATGACAGTTAAAGGATAGTTTTCGAATAAATAAAAATAATACATTTTAAAATAAAAAACATTCATCAAGTTAAAAAAGAAAATATTAGATACATGTTGATACATTGTTAATATCAATTTTAGTTTTAAAAACAATTGAGCTAAACTCGGGTATTGTTTGTTCCGAGCAATTTTAATTAATTTTAAACATTCTAACTGTTTTTTTTTTATTTAATAAAATGTGATTTCAAAAAACTTAGAACGTCTATCGAAGTGCTACTTAGACGTGTCCTTTGTTTACTCACAAAATTTCCTGAAACAGAAAATACTCTCATACTTGCGACTAAATTATGCTTAATTGTATTTAAAGCTTGATATAATAATTCTAAGTTTTTTGTTCTTTTATTTGTGGCTTCTAGGACTTACAACTATTTTTTTTTTTAAGTTTGAGTAGAGGAAGTTACTTCTTCAAGAAGTCACATTGATTTAAATTAATATATACACTGGTATAAAAATCTAAAATAATATATACAAAACTTTTCTGGGAAGAACCATTGCACACTGATAAGATGTCAAATGCTATTGAACCGATATGATTTCAAGAATCAAAACGCTTTCATCTATCTTTTATATTTGGCTTTATTTGTCATTTTCCATTTATACAGTGAAAACCGACTTTTTTCACTAAAGTTTTCGAATTTCGTAATTTTCATCAAAAACCCGGTTTCTAAAACCGGTTTTTGAAAACCGGCAAAACCTAATACGCACACATACAAATATACACATGCACACACACACGCATACATATACATCCATTTTTTTCTAAGGTATGCCAAAATGTTCAGAAGCCTTTGAAACTTAAAGATATGCAGAAAATTTATTTTCGATTTTTATACTTATGACTATAACTTATTCTACGGGAAGTTAATAAATGTCATTATTACACAATGCATATTTATCAAATATGGCAAATTTATGATTCTATGAACGCGTACTATGGTTTTATCAGTTTTTAAATTCTGGTTTGGGTTTCACGGTGAAATTATAGATATTCGAAAATAAATTTTTAGTAGAAAATACCAGTTTTTAATACCAATTTAAAATCAATATAAAATTTGGAAAAATTTAAAATGAAAATCTGTTGCAAATCGAATGACGCAAACCCCTATGTCTGGCACTCAAAAATTATCGATAATCGACCTCTTTCTCCTATGACACAATTTTTGCATTGGTTCAGTATTCTGCCTCACGCCTCATGATCTTCCCTCATCGGTGGAATTCAGGTGGCATCAGGGTGACTTTATTATAATTGACTAATCCTCTAGAATCATCCCCAAAGCGTTGAGGAATCCGTCCACGCATACTTCGACGAATTCCAGGGCTCGCCGGCAGTTAATTGAAATTCGAATGATTTATTAACGCCTATTAACAGAACGAAATTTACCAAGCCTCAGACAAACGTCGAACGCATTTTGAAAATTACCTATTTTACATAGCACACATATGTGGAGGAAAATGGATTAAAAGATTTTACAAAAAAAAAAGAATTGATTAATATAAATTGTGCTTATAAGCATATCAAAAATAGCGCTGTATAATGCCCATTAGTTTTGTATGCAATCAAATTATAATTTTCGAATTATCTTTCGATTTTTATAAAATTGTTTTGTAATGCCTAATTTTATTGTTTATCAAAATGTTTTTACGAAACTCAGTGCTTTTGTAGAAAATTATTCAACAAACATAAACTCCGCAATACTGCTCGATTATTCGCACATATGTGTAGAAATAAAGGGTGGAAGCTCATAAAGGACAAGGGGTACAAATTCACACTGCACATTTTCATTTAATACCACATCAACTTGGGTGTGTTCATAATAATAATTTAGTAAATTCGATATTGACAATAATGAATATAAATTACGTAGTGTAGAGTGGAGCCTAAAGGTCCGCGGGTAAAAAGTTCCAACTCTGATATTCCAAAAACATATAAATTAAGATTTGTTTTAACAATATTTGAAATTAGAAAGAAAATTGTTCCAATTTTTTTTTGTATATCGAAAATAATTCAGATTTTAATTTTAATTATGGCTAGAGTTCGAAAGCTCACTTATATGCTTTAAATAAAAAAAATTAACTTTGTAATTCAGTTTATATAATTCTTATAAATAAATATTATAAAAAATATTTTTAGACGATATTACAGTATTCATAATAATCCATTTGAAAACATTTAATATTCTTCGAACATTTCGTTACGGAACCGGAGGTTACAGCAATTTGCCTTAAAGCGCTATGCCATACACCACTAGTTTAATTTTATTTATTTTGCATTGTAGCGATTGCTTCCGTAAAATCCCTTATTACACAATTAATATTACTTCTAATATTAAAAATACGACCATGGATCTATTTTCCCTCTGGCACTGAAAATATAGATGTTTCCACAGAAATTTTCATTCTTATTCAAAATTGTTAAACTGAAACAATATTTTGAGGGTTCTGCTTTTTGTGTATTATCGACAACACTACATCTGCACCCTGAGTTATCAACTTGATAAAAGTGTTGGGGAATTATGTGCTTGTCTAATTGAAATACTAACGCGCTTTATGTTCCGAATAAGACCTATGTTAAGCCACTTATAAAAGCGATAAAGTCCTATATTTGACACAGGCAAAAATAATAGAATATCTAATATTGAATCTTGATCAATTTTAATATGATAATAATAATAAATTAATAGCAATTTGGATCAGATTTTCTGAAATGTGTACAAGTTTGCAAATTTTACTTCTAGGATCTACTACAATTTTTCGTGATAGGGTAGAGCGGAGTTTGAAGTTCCGTGCGTAAAACAAGTATAACATTTTTTACCGATACTATTTTAATGTAGAAGACAAAAGATGTTTAACCAGCCATTACATACATTCTTATGATGTTACTATCAGGAGATGGACAGCCACAATGTCAAAATTTTGATCAAAGTTTTTTTTTTCTGTTTTTAGTTTTTTTTTGGTTTCAAGCACTATTGTTTAGTTTACGATACTTAAATAGTTATTTAAAATCTCCATTGTATTGTTAATTTTAAGTTAAATTCAACAGTGTTTCATCCCTTAACATATGGTATGGGTAAAAGGGACCACATCATTCTCTACATTGGCCAGGTGGAAAAAATAATAAAAGAGCAAATGAAAAAGTAAAATAAGTTTAAAAAAGCAATATTACAAGAAATAAATTAAATTAATAGTTATTCGAACTCTCATGATAAATTCATCTGACAAAATTCTATACGAGGATTGTATACATTAATATCTTGTGTAAAATATTTGACCATAAGATGCGTATATCAAATAGAAGTTGTATGTACATTATTTGTATTAATTGTATTTCAAGAAACAATGAGGTTGAATGTAATAACTTAAGTAGAAATAACTACTAAAGCTGGATATATGACATCACTAACTATTCTAGTGTTCGAATTTTTCTCATCATGTTTATGATTATGATTCCCGAATTTGTTGTTCACCTTAAAATTAAAATGTATTGTATTGATCAAACAGTTTAGCTTCACGAAATAAATTATTTTGTGAAATGTCTTTAAAATTAAACATAAAACTAGTGGGGTGTGTCGCATCGTGCCTTAAGGCAAATTGCTGGAACTTCCCGTACCGTAATGAAATGTTCGTGGAATACTGAATGTTTTCAAATAGATTATTATAAATATTGTAACATTGTCTAATATTTATAAGAATTATATAAACTGAATTGCAAAGTTAAAATTATTTGTTTAAAATTTATTAGAACAATTGTCAGAATTAAAAATAAAATCTGAATTATTTTTCATATACAAAAAAAATAAATAAAAAAAAAAGTTGAAACAATTTTTTTTTCAAAATCAATTATTTTGTTAAGACAAGCAGAAAGTTCTTTGAATCAATTAAATCGGACGCTTAGTTCTCTCAAAAACTGCCATTTTTTGCACATTTAGCTCCATATCTTCGAAATGGCTGGGCCTGCTTTTGCCAAAATCTGATAAACACTTCTCCCAATCATTACTAATTGCATGTTTTTTAGAACATTCAAATCGGTTGCTCCGTTCTCTCAAAAACTCGATTTCTATTATCTGCACTCTTTGCTCTTCATCTCCGTAACTGTGGACCTGCCTTTGCCAAAAACTAATCAGCTCATCTCCCTATCAATAGGAATCGAATGTTTTTTGAACCATTCAAAACGCGACTAGAAATGTATTGTAAATGTATTGTATCCATACATACACACACACACACACACATCCATTTTTTCTGAGGTATGCCAAAATGTTCAGAAACCTTTAAAACGTCGAGAAATGTGAAAAATTTCAACTTCGATTTTCGGCCCATTACAATAACTTACCCTACGGGAAGTTAATAGTAGATTTTCTTGCCCCCTGGTTGTTTCTTATTGCATTCAAATCTTTATTGAGTTTTCACTATGCAGGTGTGGTTCCAAAATCGTCGTGCAAAATGGCGCAAAACAGAAAAATGTTGGGGCCGGAGTACTATTATGGCAGAGTATGGATTATATGGAGCCATGGTCAGGCATTCATTACCTTTACCAGAAACGATATTAAAGAGTGCAAAGGAAAACGAATCTGTAGCTCCATGGTTATTAGGTCAGTATTAATCAATTTTGATAAAAAACATAATAATGTTAGAATACAATACAATAAGAAATGAATAAATATATGGTGCATCCAAAAATACATTTTCTGAAAGTACGAGCACGGTACAAAATTTGTTAATTTCATAATCAAAGTTATTTCTATGCGTGCAATAAAGAATTTATAAACGTTAGTGAATATTTTTTATCTAAAATTTTGAATTGTTTGAAATTCTGAAATAAGAAGGATGACTACAAAGTTTGTGCCATTTTTACAACAACTGAGTTTTTGTCTTTCTGGGCTTATCAAATACCTTACATAGTCCAGATTCCACTCTAAAATAATCATTTACTTATCTCCCAGGTATGCACCGAAAATCAATCGAAGCAGCAGAACATCTAAAAGATGATCCTGGATCTGGAGCCCCTGGGGGCGGTGGAAGTGGAGGTGCTGGAAGTGATCGTGAAGATAGTGCATCTGTGAGGACGGACGATGCAAGTGATACCAGCGGAGGCTCCGTTCGACAACAGCAAACACATCCACAAAACCAAACAGATGACCATTTTAAAAATACCAGTGCAATCCGAACACGGAGAGATGGTACCCCAAACGATGCATCACCGAGAACGAGTCCCGGGCCACATAATATGTCTCCTAACAATATGAATCATAAAAGGAACAATAATTTGGTCGTATCAGAAGACCAACACGGTTTTGGAGGTGTGTCACCGGATGATCCAGAAGCGTTCAGGTTAGTTAACAAAAATTGTAATTGAAATATTATACCCGATTTCACACATTTCAAATGAGATCACTGGCTTTCTTTAGCTTCGTTCATCAAACAAATAAGTAAAATTATATTTTTTTAAATTTCCTTACTGGTATCAGCTTAATACAGAGTGTTATTTTTATTAAATACAAAGAAATAATAGTTAAATACAATTTTCCGAAGTTATTCTTCAAATTGAAAAATAGTAAGTTTAAGCTTCATGAACATTTGAACAGTTCTATTGTCAGTTTGCTTTCTGATCATTGATAATTTTATAAGTCAATTTGCTACCTTTTTGCATATCTTCATGTTTTGTGAACATTTTGGCATACCTCAGAAACAATGGATGTGTGTGTGTGTTTTCTGTGTCCGCATTTTTTCGTTCACGTTTTCGAGCACACGGATCAACCGATTTGAATTTGATATGGAGATGTGCTAATGAATTTTTTTCAAAGGCAGGTTCAGCTGTTCCGAAGATACGGAAAAAACTGCCAAAAACGGTAATTCAATTTTTGAGAGAATCGAGCGTCTGATTTGGATGATTCAAAAAACATTTTATTTGTATTGACGAAATGAAGAACTGATGAAATTTTTGGGAAAGCAGGTCTAGCGTTTTCAGAGAGATCCAATAAAAAAGTGAAAAAAATACCACTTAGCAGACAAAAATGATAATTATTCAAATGCACATTAAATACTTACATATTTTATAGATATTTTACAATTGCTTTCAAAAGTTTTAAAAATCTCAAAAATCGACTTTTTTCAGTGCTCTATTTTAATTATTTAAATAATTTTATATTAAAAATATGTGGAAAATTAAAAAAACTAACAAATTTTTCGTCCATTTTTGAGCATTTTTTACTCATGAAATCTTTAAACGCTCATAACTTCTGAACGATTCATCCTAGGATGTTGATGTTTCCAGGCGAAATATTCTAAATCAAGTTTCATTCATTCATTCAGTTTTTTCTTATTTATTCGGCAACCGTTGAGAATATTAAAATGCCTTTTTTTTCAAGTTATTATAGCCCACAAGACAATTCACCTGACGTTTAATTGAAGCTTCTACGTGCCCGGGAAGCCTGTGAAAAATTAAAAAAACTAACAAATTTTTCGTCCATTTTTGAGCATTTTTATTTTTCAGCATATTTATTTTAGTTTTCGATTTTCGGCCCATTACTATAACTACCCTACGGGAAGGTAAAATAATATATAAAAATACCTATTTCAATTTAAGAAAAATAAAATTACAGTGATTGTCAATAAGAAGACAACTGAATATAGACTCAATAAATGCCAAAGATTTGCTACTAATTTAAATGCACTAAATATTATACAGTTAGCATTAATTGCATTAATTGCATTACTAATACATTCAACATACTGACATAAAATTGGTATACTATGGTTTATACAAAAACCGACATTTCAGAAAACCGGTTTTCGAATTTTAGTTTTACTAAAAAACCGGTTTTCGAATTTTATATAAAAAATAAATTTTTGCTCGAATATACTGTAATTTATCCGCAAATTTAGTGTAATTTAGAGCAGTATTTGACTGAATTTATTTATTATTAATTTTATAGATAGTAAACAAAATTATTTTAATTTTAATTAGTAGAACTAAAAAATAATAGTTTATCTTGATTAAATAACTTTGAAAATAATTATTCGTTATTCATGCATCATTTTCACATATAAGAATGAAAATATTTTTATGATAGTGAAAGGAAATTTTTCGAAAAAATAAAATATGATTTCAAAAAACTGAGAACGTCTATCGAACTGCTACTTAGACGTGTCCTTTGTTTACTCACAAAATTTCCTGAAATAGAAAATACTCTCATACTTGCAACCAAATTATGCTTAATTGTTTTTAAAGCCTGATATAATAATTCTAAGTTTTTTGTTCTTTAATTTGTGGCTTCTAGGGTTTAAATCTCTTTTTTTTAGGTTTGAGTAGAGGAAGTTACTTCTTCAAGAAGAAGTCACACCGATTTAAATTAATATATACACTGGTATAAAAATCTAAATATATACAAAACCTTTCTGGCAACTATTGCAGACTGATAAGATATCAAATGCTATTGAAACGATATGATTTTAAGAATCAAAACGCTTTCATCTATCTTCTATATTTGGCTATATTTTTCATTTTCCATTTATAGAGTAAAAACCGACTTTTTTCACTAAAAAACCGATTTTCGAATTCCACAATTTTTGACAAAAACCGGTTTTCAAAACCGGTTTTCAAAACCGATTTTTGAAAACCGACAAACCCTAGTATATACTACTACAAATGCAATAGAGATGTAAAATAATGTTGTACGCATGCACACACTACATTCCTCGAACTTGCCGTTATAAAATCGCACAGGCATTTTTTCTACAGGAATAACTCGATAGCCTGCCTACGAGCCAAAGCGCAAGAACACCAAGCGCGGCTGCTCGGAGGCGGACTACTGCTCCAGGTGCGGTCATTAGCTGGCATGCAGGCGGGACTACCCGACGACAATGCGAATAGCATTGCGAATCCTAACAGAATGGACAGGCCTGGTGTTGAAACATTATTTTAAAACATTCTAAGAATCAGGTATTAAGATATAATTGTGATAGAAGGAGAATATATTAATGTGTGCAACGAGGAATTTGTATCGATTGATCAATGTCTCATCTTAAATGTTGTAGATACCATTTAATACTAATTGATAAATAATTTAAAACAGATAATAAACATAAAAATTCAATCATAATAACATTTTTTCTAAAATTGAGCAATTATGATGTGAATAAAATTAAATAAATCAAATTTGTGAAATCTGATACTATGTGATCTTTTTTTAATAAATGGTGATGCAAATTTCGTGGGTATTTGAGTTTTAGTTCACGTGCACCCAGGAAAACTAAAAAAAGTTATTGAATTATCAGATTACTACATATATACATATATAATTTTAATTGAATTTACTAGTATTTAATTAAGACTCCATATAGCATCGAATCAGAATGGTAAGTGATATGGAATTCAGATACAATCTATATTATTTGGCATATTCAATTCGAATTCTCCTGAAATCATTGTATTTTATTCAATTGCTATTATAATTGTTTTATTTGAACAAACTATAAAAGCTGCTTATTTTAGTAGTTATTTTAGCCAATTCTTACATTGAGAATACGACAGAATTATATTACTATAATTTCTTTGCCAAACCTGAACATCATAGTATCAAACTTATAAACCAATATAAAAGAGCAACTTTGTAGTATATATATATACTACAAATTATATTGACTGATTCAGTGATAATAAGAATTGACACGATACTGAAAATAATAATTATTGTATATATTTGAGAAATCATTGTATCATTACCTTTTGGTAAGAAAACTTTCTTTTAATTCAATATACTTTTCTTAAGTATGTAAAGTGCGTATAGTTTTAATTTTTGTTGGTTGATGCATAAATACATATTAATGTATAGCTGTGTAGAATATAATGTTTAAAAGTGTATATCTGATATTATACTTGTTAGAATGATTAAAAGACTGTTTCTGATTTACTTATTACCGTAATAAAAAGCTGAAAAATACGCAATTCAGAACTCTATAAGAATATATTTCTTTTTTAAATAAATAAAATATGTAAATATGTTTCAATACAACCTTTCACGATATGTAATTAAATTAAAATTATTCACTCATGTACCATCATAATATCTCTGAGTTTTAAAAACATATAGCTATTTAATAATTTATTAATCATATATGTAGTGTAAATATAAGAAATGTAAGACAAATTTATGGATATAAAATGATTTTGAACTATATATACTTTTGGGCCTGAATTTTACTTGGCCTTAGTGAATTTTGTGGCCTCGTTTTATATAAAAGTCGATGTAGAAGTTAATTGACATACTGAGTA